AATTTGGGAAACGCATCATTCGCTCAAGCAAAAAAATACCAATTTTCGCTCAAGCGAGACTTGAGCGAGTGAATTTCCGTGAGCTTTAACGTATTTTCACTCAAGCGAGAGTCAATCTCACTTTCACCATCAGATCCAACATATAAATATATAACTATATAAATATATCAAAATATATAAATATATTTGTATTTATATATTCTATATTTATATATTTACACGGATATATATTTATTTATATATAAATATAATTTATTTGTAAATTATTATCAAAAAATTATAGTAGTTTAGTGGTTGGAGTATCAACTTTCAACTCTAAAATACTAGTTTCGAATCTTGTTAGTGACAATTCCTTAACTTAAGTGAATTTTTGGCTGAAAAAATAAAAACACTTTCCGAAAAAAAAATATATATATATATATATAAATAAATAAATATATACTTAAGTGAATTTTTGGCTGAAAAAAATACTTTCCAGAAAATATAAATAAATATATATTTACACCGATATATATTTATTTGTATATAAATATAATTAATTTGTAAGTTATTATCGGAAAATTACAGTAGTTTAGTGGTTGGAGTATTAGCTTTCAACTCTAAAATACAGAATTTTTGGGTGAGTAGACTTTCAACGTCGGCTCAGCTTTAACCGACGTTAAATGGCGACGTTGAAAACATATTTTGTAGTAGTGAACCAATAATTCTTTCTTAGCCCAGCCCCATTACAAGCCTCAAAAGACCTTTTGATTTAAGTCTTGTTTAACAAATGTTGATTGCTTGAAGATGATTATCAATATTGGATTGTCTAAATGAAGTGATTCAATGAGAAAAACACTTACATGTGAGAAGTAGAGATGATTATATATAACTTTATTTGAGAGATCATGCTTCTCTGAGGATAGTTGATGACTAATTATTCTTTGTTAGTTTCTGTAACTTGAATGCTTATATGTTCTATTTTCATTTGGAGTTGTGAGCATCACCTCTGAAAATTTTTATGTGTGGTTCTGGAAGAGAAAGTGATAATAGGCGATGGTTTTGTTTTGAAAAAATTACTTTGCTTGGGACAAGCAAGATTCTAGGTTGGGGAAAGTTATTAAGTGGTAAAAAGTTGATATAATTATGCTTTGAATTGTTATGAAACCACTTAACTTATGTTAATTCTAATATATTTTTCTCCCAATATAGGATGAATTCGAGAATACCTTGATACAAGAGTAAGGAGCACAATTGTCAGCATAATTGGAGTAAAATTAAAAGAAAGAAGAACCCTTAAGCGAATGAATGATGTGAGGCCCGACCCAAATTCTCTTATAAAAAGATAAGTTGTGTTTTGAGAAAGGGAGGAGTTTTGGAGGAGGAGAAGAGGCACGACTACTGTTAGGGTTTCGTCTAATCTTCATCAATTCTTCACTTCTTTATCAATTAGAGCATTGTAATGACCAACATGAGTGACTAACTTCGTTCTCTTAGGATTCGGTGCACTTCCTTTGAACTCTTTTGTATCATGGTGATATTTGAGATATTAATCTATGATTTGATGTTGTTATTCTTATCCTTTATGCTTTAGAATGATTTATTCTTGATTGTTTGAGGTATGATTGGAAAATATATCTTGAATCGTAGATCACGGTAAGAATATTTGTTACGTTAATTGCTAGGAATGGAATGAATGTATCAATTGCTTAAACACCCTAAACCTAATGCTGAAAATTCTCTTAATTGTGTGAGGAATCAACATTTATTAGGTTTTCTTATGAATTTCATGTGTGAGGAATCAACATGGATGATTTGAGTAGGTGACATCAATATTGTTAGGTTAATTGACGTTCTTAATTGACATAGTCATTACAAAAGAGGGATAAGGAAGGAAGTCAATCCTAAGTGTCTTTAATTGATATTTTCTCAACAATTTACAGTTCTTTGTCATTTAATTTCAATTCAACTCTTTATGCAAAACCTATATTGTTTTAATATACTTAGTAAGCATATAATTGGGAATTTCTATTGAAACTGTTTCTCGTGGGATCGACTTTTATTTAATCGAAATACTATACTACGATTGATAATTTTGGTACGTTTGCCAATAATTTAACAAGTATTTCTCCATGAATGATGGGTCCACAACTGGTACTAGATCATTTTTAACCGTCGTTAAACGTCTTTGTTATAGTAGTGTGGTGACCCTTTGGATCATTAAGAGAAATTGGAGACCTTTCTAGCGATGGTGTTTAATGATTGGTTATGAAGTAAAAGCATCTATATGAACAATTTTAATAGATATTTATGATGTCATATCATTTTAAGCAATATAATATTATTTTACTTCATTAGAGCATATTTTAAGGAAATTGTTATCAAGAATTATTTAAGAATAAAATTAAATATTTTATTATGAGTTATATGTCTAAATTGCTTAAAATTGAAGAAAGTTACTTAAAATTAAAAAAAAAATGTTTATATTTGACCAAATTTTAATATGTGGACTTATAATAAAATATTTATTTTTATTCTTAAGTCATTCTTACTAAGATCTCTTTGAAGATATCTAAAGTTTTTTTAATAAATTTTTAAAAACTTATTTTATCTTGTATTTCCTCTCCTTATTTACTTTTATATGTTTATTTTTGTAATAACATCTCTAATGTAAGTGATTTATTGAAATGCATAAATAAAGCATTAATTGTTTGAAGCAATTTTTCATTAATTGTTTGAAGCAATTTTTCATTAAAGGAATCTTACATGACATGATAAGTGTTTCAATTTTTTTAGTAATTGCTTCATCAAACAATTTTAAAAAATAAACAAGGGGAAAAAATAAGATAAAGAATAAATTTTTTAAAATTTATTAAGAAGACTTATAATAGAATGAAATCATTAATTAATTACTTATAAATTATATAATATCATTTTTTTTAAATAAAAAGTAACTTATCTAGTTGTTTCTATTGGATATATCTAAATGGTTTGATGAAGTAATTATAAAAAAATTTAAATAAATTATCATATTACATAAGATTTTTTTAATGAAAAATTATTTCAAACACCTAATATTTTATTTAAACATTTTTAAACAAGATGGGTTAATACTTTTCTAATTTAAAATTTAATAATTCAATAAAATTTTACAATTTGAATCTACATGAAAATTTGAAATATTAATATAATCTTAATACATCCTAACCTGCACTCAAGAATTTTAAATTTACCATCATTACCTACTAATTGTCAAAAACTAATGATTATGAATCACTTCCTTCATTCTTGTTCATGACAAGACTCTTTCAACTAATTAACATCATTTAAGAAAATTAATCAAATTAATAATAAATAACAATATAATTCTATAATTTATACATGAATATTAAATCCACCCACAAGAATAATATTTTTTAAAATTAAAAAAAATAATAAAAAATTTCAAAAAATTCAGAAAATATTTTTCTAAAAAAATAAATAGATAAATTTAAAATATTTAATTATAAAAATAATTTAATTAATTTTGATTTGTTAATTATGAATAGAACAATCTATTAAATTTTGAAAAATATTGAATGAATTATTAAGCAGAATTAAATGGAAAATTATGATCTGATTAATTTATTTTATATTTTTCAATAGGTAAATTTTGAATATATATATATATATATATATATATATATATATATATATATATATATATATATATATATATATATTTATATATAGACAAGATAAGCAATGATATATAATCTTTCACTAAACTTAATTTACAGAATTGAAAATTGATGTGAAGTTAGAGTGAAGCTTTGCATCAAGGATTCAGCTCCAATCCTGAAATTGTGAGAGGTGCTACCTCCACATGTGAATTGAATATGAAGTTGTATTCAAAGCAAGGATTCAATTAATGCACTGGTGTCATTCACGAGGTACATACCTTAAAGAAATTTTGTACCCATTTTTAATATCATATATAACTGCTTAATAGTAGAAAAAGTACTAGAAACCAATGCTAGCCATGTGATTAATTACCTTGAAATCACACTTTTTTTCTTTTTTTCTTTTTCTTTTTTTCTAATTTGGATATGGATTGAATAATAGTAACATACAAGAAAAAGTAGGGATAAAAATAAACCAAACTCATCTACATGAATCACATGATATCATATATCATTTCCTTTTGGTTTACTTTTATTATTTTTAGTTTAGATTGAATCTTTTTTAAGATCATTATATATAATTACAGATAATAATAATAATAATTTAGATTTTATTTTTTAAAAATTTGTTAAACTCATGCATGATTAGTTTGATTTCTTGTTTTATTAATTGTAAAATATGTTTGTAAAAGTTTTAATTGTTGTAACAATGAATTAAGAACTGACATGGTTTATTATGTCGATTTACATTTATAAAGTGTCATTGAAAAATTAGAATTAAAATAAAAAATATTGTTAATTGTATTTGATGTTCAGTTAAAGTAAGGAAATTTATATTTTGACGGGAAACATGAAAGCAGTAGAATAGAATGATTGAAGAAAAGAAAAAATGGTAGGAATTGAGAAGAAAAACACCAAAAAATGGCTGGTAGATTCAGAGAGGAAGGGACAAATGCATGGGGATGAGATATGAAGTGTCTCTAGGTGAGCCAAGTGACATCCTCAACGGTGCTCATTCAACCATCTAAGCCACCCTGTCCCTTTCTTCTCTCTCAAAATAAAGAACGGTTCAAAATCCTCTTTTTTTTCTTTTGCAAAAACCAAAACCTCTTCTGCCTCACCACCTTATAATTCGTTCCACTTCATCGCATGTTCATCCTACGATAGTGTTCTTTGTCGTTATTTTCTCCCCAACTAGACATTTTCAAGATTAATTTTTTTAAAAATCATCAATCAATTTTGCAATAATATCTCCTTTTCTATAATAAGAGAGAGTCACTTACCTATTCTGAACCACATACTCACTCATTTGTTTCTTTCAACTCAGACACTCACACTCACACACTCACCAAGAGAGTCATGGCATCCATGGCTGCTATAGGTTCTCTGAATGTGCCATTTTCTGCTTCTTCCTCCTCCTCCTCTTCCAATGGAGGAAGGAAAAGTGTCCTACGCGGCCTCTCATTCTCTGCATCGCAACTCTGTGGAGACAAGATTTCCACAGATTCAGTTTCAGTTGCACCCAAAAGAGTTCGTAATCCAGTGATTGTTTCTCCTAAGGCGGTTTCTGATTCCCAAAACTCCCAGACGTGTCTTGATCCCGATGCTAGCAGAGTAAGTTCACCTCTTTCTTCACTACTTCGTTTTTCTTTCAATGTTACAACGTCAAATTAGTGAAGTATGAGAAAATCTCCAATCATGTGTGTGTTAGGGTGATAGGGAGGGGGAGTGTTTTGGATCAAGTTGAAAACATGAATTTTTTAGATCACAGCAGTGGAATTTGATCCTGTGGTTTTTGAATTTGATGTGGGTTGGTTCTGATTATGATTGCAATTAAAAATGTTTATCTGATGATGATGTTTATAGAGTGTGCTTGGCATTATACTTGGAGGTGGAGCTGGGACTCGTCTTTATCCACTGACCAAGAAGAGGGCAAAGCCTGCTGTTCCTCTTGGAGCTAACTATAGGCTGATTGATATCCCTGTTAGCAACTGCTTAAATAGCAATGTGTCCAAGATCTATGTTCTCACTCAATTCAATTCTGCATCCCTGAATCGGCACCTTTCCCGTGCTTATGCAAGCAACATGGGAGGCTACAAAAATGAGGGTTTTGTCGAGGTTCTTGCGGCTCAGCAGAGTCCTGAGAATCCTAATTGGTTCCAGGTGAACACACTGCCTTAGTGCCTCAACTCTAACTTTAGTCATTTCCTTTGATGACCTTTACTATCCCTTGATTTAATGCTTTAACAAGCTTGATGTGTTCATTGCAGGGTACTGCAGATGCTGTGAGACAGTATTTGTGGCTTTTTGAAGAGCACAATGTTTTGGAGTTCTTGGTTCTGGCCGGTGATCATTTGTATCGAATGGATTACGAGAAATTTATCCAAGCACATAGAGAGAGTGATGCTGATATCACTGTGGCTGCATTGCCAATGGATGAAAAGCGTGCCACTGCATTTGGTCTGATGAAGATCAATGAAGAGGGGCGAATAATTGAATTTTCGGAAAAGCCCAAAGGAGAACAGTTGAAAGCTATGAAGGTAAGCCCATATAACACACATTATGTGTCTTTTTACCTTATCATTCTCTGAACAATTGCTTAAAATTGCCACTGACATTTTTTTCCACAGGTTGATACTACTATTTTGGGTCTTGATGACGAGAGAGCGAAGGAAATGCCTTACATTGCTAGCATGGGTATATATGTTGTTAGCAAAAATGTGATGTTAGACCTGCTCCGTGAGAAGTTTCCTGGTGCAAATGACTTCGGAAGTGAAGTCATTCCTGGTGCAACTTCCATTGGATTAAGAGTATGTGTCCTGTCCAGCTGTTTAGTATTAAGAAGACTTTCCTGTTATTTTCATGCATTTGTTGAGAATATTGTACGGCATGTTTTTGTATATTCCCAGGTGCAAGCCTACTTGTTTGATGGCTACTGGGAAGACATTGGTACAATTGAGGCTTTCTATAATGCAAATCTGGGAATCACCAAAAAGCCTATCCCTGATTTCAGGTGAATTATATAGATATAATCATCATATTGACAAATGTATTTCAATGATAATGTATTGTGGCTATGATGTTTATCTGTTTATGCTTTTGGGATATTGATTGCAGCTTCTATGATCGATCGTCTCCAATCTACACCCAACCACGATATTTGCCTCCATCTAAGATGCTTGATGCTGATGTCACTGATAGTGTTATCGGCGAAGGATGTGTGATTAAGGTAAACCTCTGAGAATTTTCACACCATTGATCTGTTCTATGTATGAGATTTGCACTATTCTTAAGGAATATGTCAAATATATTAAGACTAATTATTTTCACAGTAAACTAACCTTGTATGTCATATTTTGTTCCATAGAACTGCAAAATTCACCATTCTGTGGTTGGGCTGCGATCTTGCATATCAGAGGGTGCAATTATTGAAGACACATTATTAATGGGGGCAGATTATTATGAGGTAATGATGTGGTAAAATAAGTTATAACAAGTATTTTTCAAGTTTTAATAGTCAAGTTTCACGTGTAAAAGTGCTTGAAACACTTAATTCATCAAATTTTAAATTTGTCTAGCATTTCTAACCGCAACATTGGTTTTCTGATTGTTGTATTACAGACTGAAGCTGATAAGAGGTTTTTGGCTGCTAAAGGCAGTGTTCCAATTGGTATTGGCCGGAACTCTCATATCAAAAGGGCAATTATCGACAAGAATGCTCGAATTGGGGAAAATGTGAAGGTGAGGAGACCTAGTGCCTTTAGGTGATTTTGATATTGTTTCTGAATTAAGATGTCTTTACCATGTGAAGTCTCACTTTTGGTTCCAATGGACAGATTATTAACAGTGACAATGTTCAAGAAGCTGCAAGGGAAACAGATGGGTATTTCATAAAAAGTGGGATAGTGACAGTAATCAAGGATGCTTTAATTCCTAGTGGAACTGTGATCTAAATCCACCACCTAAAACCAAATCTTGATCTATTCCAAATGATAATGTTGACTGAGAGACTCATATCACCGCAGGAGGGTTTATCAAGCTCTGCTTTCCACGCCTAATGGAGGTTCTCTTTCTGTTTCATCATATATATATCTGTAGGCAGTAGCCTGTAAATAATAGCGGAAGAGAATGACCCGCATGGAGCAATCTCTCTGTTGTACATTTAATCAATTCAATAAATGTTTCTTTCTTTTGAACTAACTACTATAGCAAGGGAAGGAACTAGGTGTTTGGTTCCACAAGATCAAAAAAAAAAAAAAAACTAAGTTTTGTAGAGATGAAAAAGATAATTATTTTAATATCATATTTATTGGTCAATTTTTTAAATATTTTAAAAAATAGAAGTTAATTTATATTTGTCATGATCATATTTTTTTTAAGAAAACAGCAGTTTATTTTATAAGCAGTAGCTTTTGATTTTAACTACGTTTTAGATATTTTTTATAATTTGATGATGATCTGCTGTAAAAATGTTATATGTTTAAAAGAAGTGGATATTTGTTTGGTTATTAGTGGTACAATACTGGTATGCTTAAACTTATTTATTTTTTTACAAATTTTATCAGAATCATTATATCAAAATTATCATTAAAATTTGTTTGATATATTAAATTATCCTAAATATTTAATATAATTAACTTTAATACGAGAAGTTAACTTTATTTACAAATTAATTTTATGAAATTGAGTTAAGCTATAATTCAATTTTCTAAAATAGTGATGTCATGTCTAACCATGACTCTATCATGTAGTTTAAATATAAACATTTAATTTTAAACAAAATCAAATTAGAGATTTAAAATAGTTGAACTAAAATTTTTTAATATAACTTACCATCATCGATTACATCATCAACTTCATACCCCTCTATTTACATTAAAAAAACACACATGAAATTTAAAATTTAAATTATATATATTCTAGACAATTTTCTAACACTTATAACTATTTTTTTATATATAAAAATATCGTCATCACTTTTATATAAACATATATTAAAGGATATTCAATGTAATTTGTATTTAAATAAAACATATTTATAACAACTATTCATTTGAATAATAATTCAAATTCAAAGTATATATTATTATGTTTTTTTTACATTCAATAATCATATTAAATCACATTAAATGTCTCTATAATCCATTAGTTACATTATATATTTCACAAATATGTACAAATGACTTTAGAAAGAAATTAAGTCACATTATCATCTTTTAAATATTTTAAAGTATAGATGATATTTTTTATCTTTGTTTTTATTAATTCTAAAATATTAATAAATAAAAAATTCATAAAATAACTTTTATGTTTTTCTCATTTGTTTTAAACAATTTTTTATATTTACTAAATTGTATTTTATCATAATATAAAAAATCAAATTTGTATTGTAATGATAATAATTAATGAAAAATTAAAGTTATTTTAAAGTTTTTTATTTATTTAAATTTTAAGATTAAATTAAAAATTAAAAATATTTTTAATAACTAAATTGATATTTTATCTATTTTAAAATTAAAATTCCTAACTTGTAGATGAACAATTTTGAACAATAAAATTGAATCAATTATTAATATACAAAATAAACTTATTAGATTGGATTATTCTTATAAAGAAAGTATAATATACTATTATAAATTATAAATTTTTATCATTCAATACAAATGAAAAATATATATATATATATATATATATATATATATATATATAATATAAATAAATAAAAGAAGTATGGTAAATGGTCACACGGGAAGACCATAGTTTAAATTAGACTATGAGAAAAATATTTAAACATATCACGTGATGAAATATAGTTTAAATTCGATTGTAAGAAAAATATTTAAGCATATGAATAAAATAATTTAAAACTAAAATAATTAATGATAAAAAATTGTGAAAAAAATTGCAAAATTCAATAATAATTAAGTGATAAAATGTGTAATTAAATTATAATAATTGATTAAATATTATTTGTATTTCAAAAGTTTATTCTCATTATTTTTCATTTCAAACATTTTAAAAATTTAAAAAATTGATTAAAAACACTTATTTTATGTTAAAAGGAGGGTGAAAATAGATATTATCTAAATGCAAATATCAAAACCAAGTTTAAATTGTTTGAAAACTTCCACGGCCCATTTGACCGATCCAATATATCGGTCCAACAATCATTTGCAATTCGATTATAGAAAAACAGATGAAAAAAGAATGATACTTCTCAAAAACTACCCCGAATATCCAAAATCACAAACTAATAAAGAAATGATAATTATAACTATTTCTAACTATTTTATTAATTTAATTTTAATAAAATAATTAATTTCAATTCAAACCAAAACTTTAATAAATGAGATATTATTGGAAACTTAAAACTCAGCACAAGATATTCATAGAAAAAAAGTAATTAAAAATCAATAAAATGTAAACAGTTGATGAATTGAATTTAAATCAACCATATGAAATATGTATTAAAAAAATTAAATCTGAAAAAAAATTAAAACAATAATATATAAAATTAAATATTATTTCAGGTTCGCCTGGACTCAATTACAATTTTAATGTCATTAATATCACCTAATTTTTGCAAGGTTAATTACAATGTTTGGTTCTTTTTATACATGTAACATATAATTGGTTTTGTTATTACTAGTTAAAAAAATATTTAAATAATACTATTTATATTTTATTTAATCTAAAAACACTTTGTTTAATGATTTATCAAAATATTAATTATACTTCTCTTTTTATTATCCATACACATGTATTAAATAGAAATGTTAATAATAATTCAAATTTTATTATTTATACACTTGACATTAGGCATGTTATTCTTATTAACTAAATCATAATAGTTTAAATTTTTTTAAAAATATATAAAAAAATTCTAGTTATATTTTGTAATTACTATTCCTTGCACTTAAAAATATTATTATACTGATTAATTAAAAATTTGTGATACATGATAAATCAAGTATGTATTATTTTATATGATATTTTTTATAAAAACTGTGATATAATGTTAAAAAATACAGGTAGACTTGATTAAGATATGAATAAAAATAATGAAAAGGTATTATATTTTCAGGTTCAGTGACCTCTCAAAACCTTTTTCCTTTGACCATTCTTACCTTGACTTTACCTTTTCTCTGTGTATGGACTGCAATATGATATCTGTGTTCTTCTGTAGTCTGTTCTGATTTTGAATGTTCATAGTCTATGTAACATTGTACTTCCTGTACCTCACTCTGTAACATGAATTCAATTCAATAGTATCAACAATTTATGTAACTGTCATTTTTATGTCTTCTCATGTTCTTAAGTACACAGATTATAACTTTTTATATGCCATATTAAAGAATATTGTTTTTTTTTTTTATATTCTTTCAATCTGTATAAACTACTTCACAATAAGTTAATATAATTTTCTTTTCTTCTTTAACAAAATTACTATAAATTAAATCTTTTTTTATATTTTAGAATATTTTTAATAAAAACACAATTCATTAATATAAATAATGCAAATACATTTTAATCATATAACAGTCCTAAATGGATAAATACATGGTGACAAAATAAACACGATGTTCTCTACACATATCCATGTAGAAATTACTGTGCTTAGTACAATATATAATATATGTATATTAAAATGTTGGCTATGCTGCTATCACTAAATTGACAAATACAGTGATGAGAAATTAAAAGAGTGTTGTTCACGTAACGTATAGAAAGTCATGGTACAACAATATTCTAGTTTTAGCTATGTTACTATCACTAAATGACAAAAACTTATCATTGTGGGTGGAATAGATGAAAATGACTCTGTGCCTATGAAAACATTTGACACTTGGTGTAAGATAAAATCAATCTTAATATTTTCATTTGCAGAAAATACTTTAAAAGTGATATTTCATGTAGTGTATAGGTAAGTAAAGGCATTTCTTTTATGCAGGCACACATTTGATGGAGTCAAATAGAACAATTATAAGCATGACAGATGAAACTCTTTGTGCATATTTAATACAGATGCGGGTAGATGAGATGAGATGAGATGAAGTTGAAAGTATTAGAGAAAGTAAAAAGAAGTTTGAATGTGATGCATAAAAGGATGATTAAGGAAGAAAGTGTGATGAGAAATAGTTGGTAGTTTTGTTTTTTAGCAATGAGAAAATGATAGGAAGAAGGGGGAGAGGAAAAGAGACAGAAGCTGACAGCTCTACTACTGCTCTCTAGTGCCTAGTCTCTCCTTCTGCTGATGTTGCAGCTGCTTTTGCCTGCCTTCTTCTGCCATAGGCATAGCTGCTTGCCAGCCAGCCAGCTCTGTCTTCCTTTCTGCTATCCATGGCTTGGCTTGGCTTCCATTGCCTTGCCTTGGCACTACCTTCAATGCATGTGTTTTAATTTTGGATGCAAACAAACAAGAGCAAGAAATAAAGAAAGAGTGTTGTTCTGTTTCTGCATGTGATTAAGAATTTATGACCCCAATCTTGCATGCCTGCACTTTTTTGGACTTAAATGTCCTCTTCTTCTTTTCTTCTGATCACCATTCTCTCTTCTACATCTCTACCTATTGCCTCCCACCTCTTCCACCACCACTCACAACACTACCACCCACCAACTCATCTTTACATTTAATTTATCTTCATTGGAAGAATCACCCTTCTGTGTTACGGGTATAAAATTTTAAGCTTTTTCAATGCGAGTTATAAGAAAATTATCTAACTTAATATATTTATATTAAATTCTAAACAGAAATTTACAACATAATTTATTCTCCCAAGTTGAGTTTTATTCTTTCAGAAAAACTCATGTAAAAAATTAAAAGGTTAGAAATGGTCCTGTGGGTGGTAGGTGGATTGAATGGTAACAATCAGGTCCCTTGATGCATAGAATTGTGTGATGTAAAAAGGATAATAAAGCCTCATTAAATTCAGATACTGGACTTTTAGTTATT